TGCTGAACCCACCTGGTGAGATGACTCATTTGCAGCAAGGGATGTGGCCCTTTGCTGGAAGCTCTCCTCCTCTGCTCCACTGATGCTGAGCAGCCTGGGGCATGCCTCTTGTGCACACCCCTAACCAAAGTCCTATGTTCTGAGAGAAACTAGCAGTTAGTTCTAATACCAAGCTCCACATTCCTGTGAGGAGGGATTTCCTGACTTGATCCACAAATGTTTTCTCCTGTCCTCCCCAGTTACTTGGTTACTTTTGTGGCAGTTCACCCCTGCTGCTTGCTGAAGGGAGACCACCCCAACTAGCTTGTAAGCCAGAAGATATGAAGGATGAAATGTCTGGGGAGCTCAGTGTCTTCCTCTGAGTGGCTCACTGGAATATACCCCTTTAACCTCTTTACTTGTGTTCCAGTCAAGCTTAGGAAATACAGCCTTGTCTTCTTCCACCCAGCTCTCTTTCTGGGAGATAATGCTGCCAAAGACTTTCTGCTGCCTCATGGTAGCAGTGTGTCTCATGTCAGTCAGGGTGTGTTGTACCCAGGAGTGCTAGCCAAAATAAACTCAGTGCAAATGAGTAGTACCTCATTCCCAGATGGGAAGTATGAAGAGTGTTGACTCACACCCCTGTTTTGGCATCATAGGGCTGAGCTTTCTGCTTGGGTTTTGGGGAGATGTGGAACAGAGAGCATGGCTGCTTGAAGGAAGTCTGCTTGGATGGTGACAGCCAAGGACTGTGCAATGGCAGTTTATGTGCAACTTCTGAAGGCAGGAGCAGGGGTGGCCTTGTGGGGAGGTTGGTAACCTTGCTGCAGGCAATACTGATGGGCTCTTTTTTTCTTACTTTGTGGAGGCCTGACACAAAGGTTTCCAGTCACTGGTGCCTTCTATATGAGCTTCCCCTTCACTTGAGGACACACTTGACTGATCTAGATGATGGTACTGGAATACTGCCAAAAGCAGGGGCTGATCTAGGCCTGAGCAGCAGTCCTTCACAGCCCTCCAAGAGCTCTCATGGACCTATGCCATCCATTGCCTGTGAAGAAACATGTTGCTGGACATGTTGTTGGCCTGTCTTTGCTACCAGAGACATCTTCCCAGGATGGAGGCTGAGTATGTGTTCTGGACTAGCCTGGGGTATTTTTCAGCATGGAGCTCTTAGCTGGGCGCTGGGCTGGGGCCCTGGCTCATCTCATACACCAACAGGGCCTGGCAGATGGGGACAGGAGGTCAGGGCAGGACTGTGCCATGTGCCTGCCAGGTAGGGAGGGGACAGTGCAACATCCTGCTGGGTAGCAGAGAGAAGTGAGCTGTAAGAACATCTTTACACCTACGAACAATGAGCAGAAGTTGAGCTGGCAACAAGTAGATATTCTCATTGCCCCAGAGGAGCTGAGCTGATTTGCAGCATAGTTAATATGCATCAGATCTAGAAACGTGAGATCAGGGCTTTGGCTTGCTCAGAAAATATCTTTCCTGATTCATTATTGCACTCAAACAAAATTCTTTGTAGCTCTGGGGAGTGTTTTTGTTACTGAAAGCATACGTTCTCCTTTTTACTTATTTTTAAAGCTCAGTGTTTCTAGTTTCCTACCTGGGATTTGTTTGCCAGGCAGGAGGGGGCGGGAGGCACAAGTGCGCATCAGCAGCGTCGCTCATGCAGGCAGGCGTTCTCTCCAAAACCACTGAGAAGAAGCCAGGAGGATCACACCCACCTAAAAATAAACATTAACATATGTACAGGCCTTTCTGAGCCTGAATCACTGCTGGATACCAGATCTCCACAGACTTCTGCCCTGAGATGGTGCAACAGTCTACTAGGGAGTAGTCTTGCTTCCTGGCACGATGGGCAAGGTGCAGCTGCTGCTGCTCACAGCTTTCCAGGGCCTTTGTGTAGTGGAAGGGAGCACCAAGATGAGCTGTGGACACTGATACGTGTGCTTTAACTGGTACCTGTGATGCTGGTGTAGCTGCAGGCAGGAAAATGCAGACTTCTAGTCCATGTCAGGAAGATTAGGGTACTGTAGGACAGAGTGTGGAAACAAGAATTATCTCTACAAGGGCATTCCTCTGCCTTGTGTTCCTTGCCATGATGCCTGCTGGGCTCAGGACTGATGTGGTTTGTTTTCATTTTGGAGAGCCAAGATGGGAAGGATAATAGGAGGAAGGAGAGGTAGTGTGGGGGTTTGCACACCCACACTCTCTGCAGTAAATGTGTTCAGGGCTTGTTAAGTCACGCAGCAAAAAAACCCCATCGGGCATAACCTGAGAAACAGAGGCATCAATTCTGGTTTGGATGTCCTGACCCTGCTCAGGTTAACAGTTTTCCCGTTCTGTACTGCTGCACAGCTGAGCACAGCTGCCTCTGGGAAATGGGCAGGTTTTGTGTTTGCTTCTCGCAGCATGGGGATCACAGAGATGCTGCAGGTCAGAGTGAGCCACACTAACAGGTCCTGGGCATGGCCCTGGAGAAGGCTGGCAGTGAGACAGCAGAGGGAGGAGTTGGTTAGTGCTGGACAGTGTTGGCAGACCAGCCAAGGTGCTGTGTAGGCGTGTGTAGTATGTGTAACATGTTGCTCACGGATGTCAGGGGAGCATTCTCCAAGCTAGAATAACAAGGAAATAGAGAAAGTACCTTAGCATACCAGTGTGAAGCTGCCAATGGTTCCTGCTTGTACTGGCTGTGAGGCAAGGCAGCACTGAAACTTATACATATTGCTGGGAACAATTGCTGCCTGAAGTTTAACACCCCAGACTTCTGTTTGAAAATCAGTGGGAGATAATCTATTCCAGTGGTGTGCTCAGATTCCTATGGATCATGACATCAGAGAAGAAGGGCTGAGCACAGAGTAGGGCTTGAAACTCTTGGCTTGGTCACTGGTTGCAGCACGCATCCATCCATAAGGCAATTAGGCAAGTGATGCTTCTGCCTACCAATGTGTGCCTCTTATTTAGGAGGCTGTAAATCTGTCTGGAACCAAAAACAGGAATAAAGGATTGTGCAGCTTCTTTTGAGGAATGTTTATATGGTATATAAAAGAGATTTTAATAGGCATGGGGTGGGGGCATATCCAGATGGTCCTGTTTAAACATAGGCTGGTAAGGGACTACTGAGAAGTTTGCTAGATGCACATTTTGTTCAGGAATAATCCCTTAACAGCACTTGTAATAAAGATGCGGCAATGACATTCAGATGTTAATGTTGACAAACTACTGTCATGAACGGGAGCTGAGGTGTTAGCTTCTCTTCTTGCTGGGGTAGCTTAGGCTGAGCTCAGTGGCTGGGAAAGTGGCTCCTGAGAAAAGTGGTGTTTGCTGCTCTCTGCTGTCTTTTGAGGGGATGATGTTCTGACAGTTCCGGACCGTGGGTGCACAGAAGCTGGACAGTGACTCACTATAAATGACACTGTCTCAAGGACAGGTGATGGAGAGAAGCCTGAAGTCTGTCCCAGAACCAGATAAGAAAGGAGCCACATGGCCATTTCTGCCCCTTAGGGAGATGGCAGCAGCAGAGAGCAGAGCTTGCAGCAAAGAGCATTTCATGGTTTTTTACTTTTTTCCAAATTAGACCAGTCTGCTGAGTTGGCTCTGGCAGGAGTCATGTCTAAGGAATGTGTTGCCCCAGTGCCAAATCTGGAGCTCATAGTGCACTAACTAAAACCTTCTTATCTGTTTTGTCACCAGCACCGGCAGCTCCTGAAGGACAGTTTCATGGTGGAGCTGGTTGAGGGAGCCCGCAAACTACGTCATGTCTTTCTTTTTACTGATCTGTTCTTGTGTGCCAAGCTCAAGAAGCAGATTGGAGGGTGAGTTTTTCCTTCTGGACTATGTATCTCTGCTTCAGCAGAATCCTGGGTTTAGCCAGCAGTTTTAGTTGAATATGAAAATCCAAGACCTGGGTAGCCACAAACCCCAATATGGAGTTAAACAAGGAATGATCAGCAAGGTAGTACTGTCTATTATATAGACCTTGGCCAAGCCCTGATCCTTTGGGAAAGGTTAATTCCTACCCCCTGCCCTGAGCCTTTCTAGGATAATAACATATACTGTTGCTGTTGGTATTCTGGACAAATGCCTTTCAGTTTTCTATCTCCGCTTTATTTTAATAGGTGACATTTTTCACTTTCTTTTGTTACTAAGGTTATTAATTTTGGCTTTGCAGCTACAGCCTGTTAACAGTTTTGCATAAAAATTGAAAAAGTAGAATAAACAGACTATATGTCAACCCCAAAGTGCAGCTATACAAGCAGTTTTGTTGACATTTGTCGCAAATGAAGGAGGATGAACCTTTACCAACATACCTGCCTCAAACAGGGTTTATCTTCATTTGGTAGATGTTCTGCTCATCTTCTTGCCTTCCTCAAACAACAGATTGTCCCTTCCCCTTTTGATGCACATACTTGTAAGGAATGAACCTTCAAAAGAGTGGACTGTTCCACATAGTGGATGTTCTTGACAGGAGGGGTAGAGAGGGAATAAACAGTATGAAACAACTTAAAAGTGGACTTGTTTATCCTGGTGGAAGCACTGGAGAATGGTAGTCAGGAGTTGTAGTTTCTCTCTTCTGGTTGGATTACACAGAGGTTTATACATCTTGTATCTGCCCCACTTGGCTGTCCAAGCTCAGGCAGGAGAGACCTGTGTTTAGACCACAGGTAGCAGCCAAGTCACAGGCATGGCATGGCTTTAGAACTTTGCTGCTATGGGGCCTTCAAAGAGAGACCATGCAGGACTGAAAGGGTGTGCAAAAGATCTTTGTGGTTTCTTAGGATGAAAAGAAGTAGGTCACAAAACAAGTTGCTTTATGTGCTGACTGGCTATTGGCCCTCCAGGCTTTCTTGCTGCAAAGCAGCCCTTTACCAGATGTTTTCCACATGGGAGTCACAGTGAAGCTGTGCCCATTTCTGTATCTCATCCACTATAGTGAGGAAGGGCTTGTGGGAATGAGGTGTGGGTGTTGCCAAAAATCAGTAACAGTAAAAGATTTGTACATTCTCTCTTTCAGAAAAAGCCAGCAGTATGACTGCAAATGGTACATCCCACTCACTGACCTTAGCTTCCAAATGGTGGATGAATCTGAGGCAGTGCCTAATATCCCACTGGTACCTGATGAAGAACTGGATGCCATGAAGATCAAGATATCCCAGATCAAGAATGACATCCAGCGTGAAAAGGTAAAAGGCCAAGTTTCCAGACTAAGTGTCTCAGGTGAGGTGAGTGATTAACTTTTTAGTGAGTTCTGGACAGCTTCTAGAGGATTTCTTTACAGTCTGCCCTGGTCCTCCACGAACATCCTTTACTGGCAGTGCTATGGCTGCCCAGTGGCATGGAAGTACAGGGTATAGCTGGGACAGTGGTACCTCTGCATCTCGTTTGGGGTTCTGGAAATGGGGAACAGAGGCAAATCTGAGTGTAGAGATACTGTGGGTAATGTTTTTCTGAGGAGATGGAGCCCTGGAGATGCTGTACTGACAGCATTTCTCCTGCCTGGGGCCATTTGGCTGCTCATAGAAGGAAGGGACTGTGCATCTTAAAACGCCTATTGGTGTAAATGGGGGTGAGTGTTGAAGAGTAACATCTGTCCTCTGTCTCACTTTCTCCCTCACCCTTCAGAGGGCCAATAAGGGCAGCAAGGTCATTGAGAGGTTGAAAAAGAAGCTCTCAGAGCAGGAATCCCTCCTACTGCTGATGTCCCCGAACATGGCCTTCAGGGTACACAATCGCAATGGCAAGGTGAGTGGCTCCTCTGGTTCCCCATAGCATACAAGACAGAGCTCAAGGGGGGGTTGTGTTTGTGCACGCTGTTGCACAAGGAGGTCTTCATGCCCTCTGCTGTCTGACTTGAAAGCAGCAGACACCTAACCCTTGCCTGCACCAAAGGTTTCAATGACATCTCATAAGGCTGTGACTAATTTGTATGCAACACTGGCATTTACAGAATAACGTTAGAAATGAATCCCTACCTCAGCACCTGCTGTGGCAGAGCACAGGAACAGCTCTCTTCACCTAAGATAAGGTTCTGCAGCAGCTGCTTTTTAGATTCCACTTCAAGTTCAAGGCTCAGAGTACTCAGAGCTGTCTCCTCAGGATTGTGACTGCCCTTGGCACCAAGGATGCTGAAAAGTTGTGACCAATCTCCTTTAGCACTGTGGGATACTCAATGTGCTAGAGGCATCCCCTGCTCTGGCAGTGCTATCCTGTCACTGTGGCCTTCCCATGCACATTACAAAGGCTTCTCACAAGATCTTGTTACTACTCAGTGAAAAACAACAAGCTGGTCACTGCTTCTTCAGCTTGCATCAGTGCTAGGCCTGTGCTGGAGGCTGTTGTGTTTCTGCTTTGAGGAACAGCACAGAGCTGCCTTGGGACCTCATGCTGCCAGGGGTGCAGGTGCTGCTTGCAGGGTGGAGGTCTGTGAAAGCTCTGGCTGCAGGAGTCTGTGTTGATACCACTGGCACAGTGCTGAGGAGGCACATTGCCAGAATCCTGCCTGCCACTGACAAAGCTGTGATGTACAGGAGTACTGGAAGGACAGTACATCCAACAATTTCTCGTGGAGGAGAGTGGGAGGCAGACAGGTCTCCTCTCACACTAATGCATACTTCATTTTTTCTGTTTTCCTGGGCAGAGTTACACGTTTCTCATATCATCAGACTATGAAAGGGCAGAGTGGAGGGAGAACATCCGGGAGCAGCAGAAGAAATGTGAGTGTCCCTCAGCTAGGCTTTGGTACAAATCCTGTGATCTTATTAGGGAGCAGAGTCTAAAGGAAGAGGTGTGCGGCAGGGTTTCTTGCAAAAAGAGTTGTGCATTGAAATCCACGGCACAAGATGGATGGTTCCTGTCTCTGCACATCTGAGCCTGTCTGGGGGACTTTTGCTTGCAGCAACATGAAGGGAATGCATTGGGAGAGCACTTAGTGTGTGGAGAGATTCTCCCAATTATCCTAGAGATCAGAGCTCTGTGCAATTCCAGGTAGACAGAACAGCTTCACCCTTTTACCTGACTCCAGTCTAAAGAAACTTACTTTTTTTGGCATAGGTGTTTCTTGGTTTGCAAGAAAATAAGAGTCCCTCTGAGACTTTTCACTCCAAAGAGTAACTAAACAGGCCCTCAGTAGAGCTGGGCTGCAGCAGCAGCACAGACCTGAGCACCACAGAACTGCTCCTGAGTATTGCCCAGGGAGCAGCTCTCCTGTGAATGCCCAGAATGAGGGAGCAGGCATCCAGCCTCTGCTTTAAATTTTAATTCCTGTCTCTTTGAATATCCTTGCCAGGCTTTAAAAGTTTCTCACTCACATCGGTGGAGCTCCAGATGCTGACAAACTCCTGTGTGAAGCTTCAGACAGTGCACAACATTCCTCTCACTATTAATAAGGAAGGTGAGACCTTTGTTTTTTGCTTTCACATGGTACAGCTGCAGTGAAAACCCACCTCTGCCTGCTTGGTGCATTTCTGCTGGAACTGCTCTTACTGTTTCTTTTTGCTACAGGCTTCAGCCTGGTGATGAATTACAGAGAGTTCCTATGAAACAAAAACTGAGACCACTCATACCCACATACCCAACTTGAGTATTTAAAAAAAAAAACAACACAACAAAACAAAAAGAGGACAAGAACAATCTGTCATCCCAGTGTTACTTGCTGCAAAAATAAAAATCCAACCTCCAAATTATATGGCTACATCTTAATTAGTAAAATGTTCCTGGACATGCTTCACTATATGTTGATTGACTATTAAATAGTCTTTACATGCAATCATCATGCTATGGCCTGGTGTTCTTGTTGCAGTCGTAGCCTGGGACAGTTTTGGTCTTTGCTTGGAAATCCTTTGGAAGAACACTAATTGGCCAAAATTGTGTCAGAGACTGTCCTAAATGACTGTTTCATCTACTAGTATAGACTTAGCTTCTATATTTTACTTTTTCTCCTTTAAATTTCTTCTGTGCTGCCTTGCTGACCCTAGAAACGATATTGTAAAAGCCACACATTGCCAGAAGGCATTACAGGTGAAATGGACACTGAACCTGGAAAAGTCTCCTCTTCTGCTGAAATGGCTAAATTACATGTTCTTGCCAGCCTTTTTAGGGACCCTTCACCCTCTGCTGATTAACCTGTCTAATACTGATTTAATCACTCTGTCTTTAACTCTTGGCTCCTCTGTGAACCTAACAAAATTCCTTGGGTCTTTTGTACAGATGATGAATCTCCAGGTCTCTATGGATTCCTGAATGTCATTGTCCACTCTGCCACAGGATTCAAGCAAAGTTCAAGTGAGTTGCAATTCTGTAACACATGGAGGAATTTACAGGGGTTAAATCATAGAGGTGCTGGGCATGGACTTGTTTAGGATTTGCAGCATCTGGGAAGATGCTGAGGAGGGGAGGTTCATCTGGGGAACTGGAGGTGAAATCAGGGCATTGGTGTAAGTATAGGAGAATGCAATTTTTTAATGCTATTGTGAACTCTCAGAAAGATCAGCATCAAGCATGCAGGATTATATTTTAGACCTAGTATGTTTGTATTTGTAAGCAGTGTTTGCTAATTATCCAACAGTTTTAGCTACAAGTCAGTCCTTATCTTGAATTCTTTCAATTGTTTGGTTTTTTTCAATTAAAGAATGAGAAGCATTCTCTGACATCCAGAATTTTGGTGTGGAGAAAGAATTGTTAAAATTCAGGGGAGTGTCTTGCCAGAAGGATCAAAACAGGTGAAAAAAGAGTGAAGGGACACCTGTAGAAATAAACATGCTTTTCAGCCATAGATAAGAATAATCCAGGAAAAACTGCAAAGCTTTCCTAGCTGTGTGGCTGGGGATCTTGTTCTTACATAAGCTGCATGTCCAGGCTCAGGAGGGAAGGAGTGAACTGGATGTACATGCTTTCTGTTAGCCTTTGTCCCTCTGAGCCACTGACTGCCCAGATGCTGGCTAACATAATTTACAGCATAACTCACAAAGAGGGGCAGCATATACAGCTCATTACTAGCTCCACAGAAACACCAGATACCACATAATTAACCACTTTGTGAAGATAATGAGGGGTTTTTTTATGGCTGGCCCCTGACCTGCTCTCTGAAGGATCTTAAACTGATGCTGTTCTTGGTGACAGTGGTTCTGATGTGATGATGGGGTCCATCATCTACCTGGAGAAGTTTCATTTCTCTGGTACAAATACAAAGAAAATGAAGACACACCCTCAAAATGGTTAATGCAAGTTAGGAGATTTTAGAACTTTTTAATAAGCTTCTGTCCTTGTCTCCCATTCTCAGATTTGTACTGCACATTAGAGGTGGATTCTTTTGGGTATTTTGTGAACAAGGCTAAAACTAGAGTGTACAGAGACACTACAGAGCCCAACTGGAATGAGGTAGGTTGGATTTTTCTTAATGGAACTTGTTCCACATGCCAAATACCAATGCACGATGGGCAGAAAACCTACAAATGGAAGAACTTACTGCATACACAGCACTTGTGCTGCAAGGGCTGCCTCTCAGAAAACACCTTTATGCAGGTTTATTTGGTTGTCAGGCCTTGCCAAAGATGTTTTCTTGGACTCGCTATATCTAAACTAAGATTTCAGTTCAAACAAGTCTTGTCCAGCATTTCATCATTTAAACAGATGCATGTTTGGTTATTTTTTTTTTAAGACACAAGTGAAAATATATTGAAGAAGGTATTTTTGTTTATTTCTTGTGAGGGGAAAGAATTAGCTATTGACATTTTGCCTGTTTACAGGCAACTTCAGCCTACTGGGGAGCAAAATTAAATACAAAGAAGGTGGATGAGTTTGTTTCTTTGCTGAAACTCATTGAAATCTGACCATTTTAATCTACAATTTGACCACCTTTTACATACAAACTATAATTTCAGTTTATTTCTAGACCAGCTCCTTTGGGGAGGAGATTTTGTCAGTCTTCAGGTGCTTCCTCCTGATCAGTTTTAAGGAGATGATATGTTCATTATTAAGATACTAGTGTCCTGCTGTGATGTATTCATTGCTCTTTCTTTTCCTGGTGCCCTGCAGGAGTTTGAGATTGAGCTGGAAGGCTCACAAACCCTGCGGATTCTGTGCTATGAGAAGTGCTATAACAAAACCAAGCTCACCAAAGAGGATGGAGAGAGCACAGATCGCATAATGGGGAAAGGACAGATCCAGGTAAGACTGTGCTTAAGTCATTCCTGCTTTTTTGTGCTTAAGTCTTTCCTGCTACTCTTACTGCAAAAAGTAACAGGGCTTCTGAATCCTGGAGTGCACCAGGGAGGTTTTATGCTGCCTCCTGATTGTCTCAGCAGAGATTTTTCTCCAGATAGAGAGGCATACAGTGTGATTCTCAAGAGGGAAGTCAGCAGCTTTTTCCTTCTTGCCTTGTCCAGTATGTCTGCTTCAGTACCCCTATGGGATAGATGGTTTTTCATTAGAATTTGGGTATTGATCTCTGATTTGCCTGTTAACTTTGAAACTTCCAGCACAGTATATAGAAACTGCATTGTCAGTGAGCAATGAATTTACTGTCCCCTTTGTAAATCTCATGAAAGAAATGCTGACTTCTGTACATGCTGGAGGTTGATGGATGTGATAGCAAGGCCTTGGAGGACAGGCTTATTGTCCTGAAAACTGCCATGTCCAAAGGATAGCGTCCATGACAGCAGGCTGCATCTGACAGAGATTTCCACTGCTGAGACTCAGCATGGTACATTTGTCTGTGTGGCAGGTTTGTAATACAATAGGGGAGGTGATGAGACAATTGCAGACGAATTCAGCTCTTGGGGAGCTGCTGTGTGGTAAAGCACTAAAGCTCCATGCGGGAGACATCAGGCCATTAGTGGAGGATGACATGGAGAACATACCTTCCAGTTCGTTGCACTATCTGTCCACATCTTTAGGTTAAATGCTTGCTCTGAGGACACATTTTTTGTGTTGAACTGGCTGTTGTACAGAGCACAGACCCTACCAGATACCTTTTTACTTTTTGTCACACTGAAAAATACCATCAGTTCTTCATTTTCATCTGATTCTTTATCACTCCATGGATGACAGCTTTCTCCAACATCTCAGTGATGGTCATACAGGCCAAGGCCATTTGCGGGATTTCAGAAGCAGCTCTGACTGAGGACAGCCTGCAGGATCATATCTGACCTTCTTCTAGAAGGACTCATTATCTAGATGGATTTCACTCAGCCTGTTCTTTCCCTCCCTCCTTGCAGTCCTGAGGCTGCTACACTGTTTGCAGGGAAACACATGGTGGGTGTAGTTGCCAAGCACATCCTGAGTGTTTGAAAGAAAACTTGTGTACAAATCAATAAATATTAGTACAGGGTGCCTCCTAGCTGTGTCTCTCAGGCTAACCAGAAATCTGTATGGCCCTTTTCCTAACAGAAGCTTATTTTCCATGTAGCTGAGCAGCTACAGATCAAGTGTTCAGCCCTGAAATGCCCTGGACATCTGTGTGCTCACTGACCCTCTAAGTTTCTCCAATATTTTACATAGAATTTTAAAAAAATTGTTAAAAATGTAAAAGGTTTTATTATATTTTCTTCACAAGAGTAAACATTTTTACACACAGCACCTGTACATTCTGTTAAAACATTTTATACTTAACAAGCACTCTTTAATGACTCTTGACTATTAATTGTCTTGATTCTTTTAGAGAAACCTAAACAGAGGAAAGTAAAAAAAAAAAAGCAACTTCTGTTGTATCACAAAAGGCAAATGCAAAAGTTCTCTTGCTTTCAGTAAATCCACCTTGCACTTCTCACAACATCCTTTTAATTCTCAGTGATTTCTGTCCCATCACACAACTTTTTATAGTATTAAATAACTGCAAGTCATAAAAGAGTCTGGGAGGACTTTGGATTGGTAAGAATTATTACATGTTTTTAATTTTGTTTAATTTTCTTTTTAAAGCAAACATCATCTCTCTAGTAAGAAATCCTAATGCAACAACAAAATCAAATTACCTGTGGCTGAAAGTTATTATTAATCAAATTACCTGTGGCTGAAGCTGTATTAATGCTGTCAACATCTTTTCCAGCCACTGGTTTTATAGTAATTTTCTTTCAGGATTTTCCCAGGTGCTTTTTAATTAATTTTTTATTTATTTTAGAATTGCTAGTGTATCTAGGGCTTTCTGTTTTGTTGTTGTTGTTGCATTGATTGACACTATTCAGCCAAAGCCTGTCTTGTGTCATGGCAAAGTCTGTGAAGTTGGATGAGGATTTTTTTCAAAAATTTCCTTTAGATAAAAGCTCTGGGAACATAAGGAGTTGTGTCTGCATCCTCCTGCTGATAAAAATAGGGAAATTTATGTACTGGCTAAATGGCAATGTATTGTTAAGCTGTATATTATTCTAAATCTGTAACTTCCCACTACTGGGAGTTGTGACTCACCAAATTCTCTGAGCTGCAGCGAGGAAGACAATGCATCAAGGAGACAAGGACTGTTTTGGCTGTGAAATGTTTATTAAATCTCTCCGTTACATAATGGCAATGGAGGAAGGAAGACTGGGAATTGGTCCTTGTGGTCAGAAGCTTCCAGGAATGGGCAGCAATTTTAATAGCTCCCATTGCTCATATTTTCTTTTCCTGTGGAACACTTTATTTACCTGATTTTGTAGCCACATGCAAGAGCTTTGTTGCTTGCCAACCTGCAAGTTTTATCCATGAAAAATAAAACCACGAGGCATATGGGAGCTCCTCCTGTAAATGTAGAAGTAAAATCTTCATCAGACCTTCTGGGTATGGCAGCACTGGATGTGTGGTGTTTAACTAGCCAGCATGCGTGGTTGGGGACTTCTGTTACATCTCGGGCATGAGAAATTCAGGGAGAAGGTACGTTGTGACAACAAAATTATTTGGGGGCTTGGGAGAGGAAGAAATAATCTTATAGGAGGAAACATGAGGCTTAGTTCAGTTGTAAGCATCAGCTCCTCTTATTCTGAACTCTATTTTTTACTTTTTTTCCTGGTGTTACCTCGCAACCCATCTTAGGGTGCCTGGCCCTTTTGCTCTTTGAATTTTGCATTTCAGGTGGCAGGCACATCCGTGTGTTTGAAGTGTAGCAGCCGTTTGTTTGGTGGGCACATATGTCAGCAAAATTGGCCTCTGCTTTGGGAACAGGCTGCATGAGTAAACTGATCCTTCATCCCATGATCCATCTCCTCCCGTTGGTGCCTCCTAGAAATGCTGTTTCCTTTGTTGTTTTTTTTTCTGCATGATCAGCTCAGGCAAACCATTTCCTTCTCCCTCACAGCAGTGCTGGAAAATCAGAGAGGGTATGACCTTAGATCAGTCATTCTGTGGCAGCAGTGCAACACCGTTCCTCTGTTGCCATGCAAAACACACACTCTTATCTGCTTAATTATCTGGGATGTCTCATAGCAGTGCACATGGCTATTTCAGACATCTAGGTTGGTTTCCATGTAAAACAGATTGCCACATGCTGTACCTCCCAAGTGTCAACTCAGAAAACCTTCTACGCTCCCGAGTTGGTTTGAACAGGTTGCTCATGCAGAACTGATCCCAGCAGTGAAAACAGGGTGGCCATGAAGAAGGCAATGGGTCATGTCTAAAGGGTGATGGTGGGAAAGATTAACATGTCACTCAGGAGCTTTGAGAAAAATGAGGTTATGGCTGGACTGGGAGTTTCCAGCAGCAGTGAGACTCTTGACATGTATGTCACATCAGTTACAATTAAAAATTGATGGAGTGTGAAGTTTCCAGGGAGATTTAATAAAGGGAGGAAGTAATGTGAATAAATAGCCTAAAACACACTAACCTTAAGGTTGCCTCAGTCCTTGCTCCCAAGCATTTGATTTCCATCAATTTTTATTTATTTATTTTTTCCTCTTTCTGCATGTTTTCTCTTCTGGGGGGAAAAAAGCAAGCAATCATCAAACTCTCTGATGGTTTCCTAAGCACAGACTCCCTTTTTCTCAGAGCCTGGTTTACTTGCCTTTAACTAACATCCTCAGTTTTCCTTTTCCACCAGCCCTCAGCACTCTGTTTTGTGCAGACTCAGCCTCTGCTGACTGCTGGACACTGTCTGCCCTCATTCAGTGTAAAGCTGCTGTGAAGGCCAGAGGCTCGCACAGAAATCCCTGTGGTGCTGATCTGCTCTGTTCTGTTGTGTTTGGTGCAGGATACAGAGGCCTTTTTCTCAATTGGTCAGTGAGTTTGAAGCTGCAGCTTGCCACTGCAAATGCCAAAGAACAGACCACAGGGGGACTGGAGATGCTGGGGGAATAAAGACAAACTGGCTGTTTTGTGTTTTCCTCTGTAGCATGTGCTGTTGGTGAGGACTGTCCAAACAAGGCTGAGAGATGCAGACTTTGAGGGGTTTTAGCAAGTCTGTACAGGTCATGGAAACAAAGTTTTTTTACAGTTACAGTGGAGATGGAACAGGTCCTCTCGTCATTCAAAACCTGTTTGAAGGAAATGTTTAGAGTTGCAGTAAATGTCACTGTCAAATGAATGCAGGGGCAGCCATTTCACTGTGTCCCCCCTTGCCTGCGCTGGCAAGGGGAGCGCTGTGTGCTTGCTCGCTTGGAGCAGGCTCCTGTTGGCACATTGTAGGCTGCATTCTTCTACTCGGTGTTCCCTCTTCCAGGTCATTGATCTAAAAATCAGGCCAGAAGACAGCATGACCCCATTTGTCACAGGCCCTCTCTATGCTGGAGCATCACACTAACTCTGTCTTCAGTCTGCTTTGCAACCTGCCTGCTCCAGCTGCCCTTTCCCTGGGTTGCTCTTGCTGCCCTTAGAAAGCCAGTCATCTGTAGGTTCCAGGACCAAATGTTTCTATCAAGTCTGAATGGCATTCCAAGTTTCCTGTTGACTCTATTATTTCCTACTGGGACTCTATCAGACTGTTAGACCTGATTTTCCTGTCTCACTCAATGTTGCTGAAAGCTTATTCAAGCTTTGCTCTCATATCAGATTCCACTATTGCACTTTGTTATTTAAATAGTACCTTGGGGGAGAATTATTTATTTTTTTTAAATTGCTGCTGTTATTACCAGTGATTTATGCAGGGTTGGCTTGGGTCAACCAGACCCACTCCCTGGTGCTTATTCTCCCTAGCTGTCTCCTTTCAGTCCAAGGTGTTCTCCAGCAGGAGTCACACAGCAGGTGGGGAGTGCAGGGTCCTGCAGCAGAGCTCAGAGAAAAGGGAACAGGAGGTGGCAGCAGGTACACCCCCAGTCCTGGCTTAGCTCCGTTAGTTGCTCAGCAATGAGCAGTCTCTGAATGCTCAGCTCCAGCATGCTGCTTTTGCTAGTCCTCTACAGCCATGTGATACTCACTCTTGGGACAGATTATAACTTTGGCTCATGTTTTTTAACAGTTATTTACTTGCTTTTGTTTTGTACAGTTGTAGGAGTTCCCTGGCTATCACAGAGACATAACCAGTAATACCTGTTAGTTGAAATAAACTAGAACTGAACCCTGCTGGACTCTAACTTTTTTGGCAAATATTCAAAACCTTCTTTCCCCTTTAGACCTAAGCAGTCTCTCCCTGTTATAAATAATACACTTTCACTGGCTCCATTCTAAAAACATATGGAAAACTGCTTCCGAGCTGGAAGACCGGCTGTGGCTGTGTCTATATCTATCAGCAGGGTCGTTTTGGCAGCTTAATGAGATGACCATTCAGGCAGCTGGAGACCAGGCTTTCAGGAATACTGGGCATGGTTGCTCTTCATAGGAAACCAAACACTTCAGAAAAGGTTTCCTCTTGATTCTGGGAAAGAATGCAGTTGTTGAAAGAAGCCAAACATCCAGCATGGAAATTCAGGGAAGAACAGCCTAGATTCTGGCCAACTGGTAGGGACCTTGGCCAGCTGCACAGGCGGGGGCGGATCTGTTCCGCCAGAGTTATAAGCAAACCCTCTTGGCAAGCAGTCTGTTATTAGGGTTTTCTGAAGCACTGAAGCTAAGCACTGCTACCCATTGGCCTCCTGGACCTCTGTGCAGACCCAAAATGTGGGAGCTACTGCTTACTGACTATTCCTTACAAGGGGTCTTCAGGAATTTCTGCCAGAGTTGCACCTACAGGAACCGGTCTGGTTCGACAGGCAAGGGCAGCATCCCGCTGTGGGCTCACGTCTGGAACAGAGTGCGCAGGGACAAGGTTGGCCTGACTTGCATGTCTGGCGCTTCTTGGGGTCTCAGCAGTGTGAGCAAGCAGGGAGAAAGTTTCTTCTCTGCTGGTTGTCCTTTTTTGGGAGCGGGGAAGGGTATGCGCGGACTTGTTTTTATAGCTGTCAGCAGCATTGGGCTGGTCTGTTGATTATCTGGAAGAGTGTGAGCATCATTGCATCTCAGAGCTCCCAGGATAGACTGTAGCTGCCATTGTTGGAACAGTCACCTCTGCCTGTGGGACAGCTCTGCTTCTGTGTGGGGTGCTGTGGGAGGGAGAAGCTGTGCTGCAGAAGTAGCTCTGGTTACTAAGTGTCTTTTTGTTTGCTGATGACAGCACTACTGTGGGTGCTTCCTTCTGCTCCCACTGTGTCTCAGTGCTCAAGGGCCAAATATTGCCAAGCCATCTCAGGAGGCACTGAAGTCTGCTTACTTTTGTTCTGATTGCTGCTAAAGTCCCCATGCAGACAGGGCTTTTCTTGCTTTGCCAGTCTGGCTTGACTTGAGTGCCACTTTTCAGGCATTCACATGTGTTTGGACACTCCCAGGCAGTATTGGAATGTCTGGGTGATGTTTGGGTGCTTGAGTCAGCTGCTCCCCAGCTCACAGCTGTCCACTCAAAAGAGAACGAGCAAAGCTGAAAATAGGAAATCAGAGCTTTGAGTCAGAACTTGTTTCTGTCTAATGAATTATTGCAACAGCAGGGCCAGGTGTTCTTCCCATGCTCCAACAGAAATGAAAAAAAGCAATAGGAAAGTTGAAGGAGGACAACTTTCCATGACTTCTGGGACCATTTTCTCTATTTGTCCTGTCTCAGATCCTGACAGAAGTTTGGTTTGTTTAAAGTTACTTGTCTCTGCTGGGATCACTTAATATTTCTCTTTCTTGATCTGACTGTTGAGGTCATTATATCTTTTGAATTCAGTGGAACATTCTTGGAAGCTATTGGCTTCATAGCCGAGAGCTATGAAGTTCTCCAGCCTGGCTTTTATTTCAGTGCAGTAATTTCACACTCATCTAACCTCACCTCTTTGTAGAAAACTGCAGAGGGAGACAGTTTCCTCTATTTCAAATCAGAGTTATTTCAGAAATCTCTCCTCCCCTTTTCTGACTCTTAACTCTGTCAGACAGGACAAATTTGGCTGCCTGTTAATGTGCCTGTTGTGCTTCTGCAACAAATGTAGCCTCAGATGGGTTTGGCTTTCAAACTTTGATTTTTTTCTTGCTGAGGTTGCCTTTGTTGTTGAGCAGACACTGCACACGTTGCTGGATTTTCCATGTGTGTGAGTCCTCATTGGCCCCACTTAGGGAACTGCACAACATATGAGTGTCCCATTACCTGAAACCAAGGAAACCTTGGAATGTGCATTTTCCTATGGAAAAGAAATGTTGAAAGCGGAAGTGTTCTGCTCACTTACAGAAGCCTTTCAGGATAGTTGGTTTCTCTGAGGTCTGTTTCTAGCTCATGAGTAACTTCCATGTCTTTCAGCTGGACCCACAGGCATTGCAGGACAAAGATTGGCAACGCACAGTCATCTCAATGAATGGAGTAAGTATGGAAAACAGAAGCTGGCACTGCTTCTGTACATCTTTTGTGCTTTATTTCATCTTTATTTCTTTGCTCTTCGTTTCAGCATGAGAAAACAAAACAAAACATGTTTGAAAAATAACAGCAGTTCTCCTTCTTTCAGGTTGAAGTGAAGTTGTCAGTGAAGTTCTCCAGTCGGGAGTTCAGCCTGAAGAGAATGCCATCCCGGAAACAAACCGGGGTGTTTGGGGTCAAGATTGCTATTGTCACCAAGTGAGCTGATGGGTCAAGTTTCTCCCTATTGTTTTTCAGAAAGCAAACTGGCCAGAGGGTTGTGCTTAATATTGCCCCACTGAGGGATGTGTCAGCCCGTTCTGCTTTTCTTGGGTAGCAGTGTAGATGGCTGTGGCTGCAGAAAGGAGATGCTGTACATTCTCTGAGCTTTGTTTTTTTATGCAGAGATAAAAGCAGCCTGCAGCCAGGCTTTGAAGCCTTGGCTGTTTACTGACAGCAGATCACTTTGAGTTCCGGAAATGCTCCTTGCCCCTCACTCTGTAGTTAGCTGACTTGGTCACAAATTTCCAGAGACACTGCATAGTGATGTTTCCTTTCTGTTATCGGAAACATTCCAGTTCTTTGGGTCCTGTTGTATTATTTTAACCCGTGATCTTTTTTCATGAATCATTTGCCAGAACGTTTACCTGTTTGTTCTGCTGTATAGTTTGAGAAGTGTGGTATTTCCTCCCTGTGGAATTGCATTGATTGGAGAGCCACAGTGTTGCTATGTACCCACGGTCTGTTTGGGAATCCTCTGATTTACTTGCAAAGTCACAGACTTGAGGGACACTAGGACCTGGCCAGAAGCCCAAGTGCTCAAGGCAGCTGCAGAACAGCCAAAGCCAGGCTGGGACACTTGGAAAACTCCTTCCATCTAAAAAGGAGTTTTTCAGCTCAGTCTTGCTTTCTAGCTCCCACCCTGTTTTCCAGAAGAGGTTTGCACAGTACAATGATGGAGTGATTTCAGCCAGTTTGGCTAGGGTAAGGAGCACTGAGGGCATGTCCTGAACTCTTCTGTCTGGCTTTCTTAAGGAGGGAGAGATCGAAGGTGCCGTACATAGTGCGGCAGTGCGTGGAGGAGATCGAGCGCCGTGGGATGGAGGAGGTGGGCATCTACCGTGTCTCTGGGGTTGCAACAGATATCCAGGCTTTGAAAGCTGCCTTTGATGTCAGTAAGTAATTGTGTCTTATATTTCTCTTTGCACTGTGAGAACCCATGTGACACCCCTGTCAGGTGGCTGGGCTATTTTTAATCTTATGTTCCCCAAGAAGCATGAAGAAGTAGAGATTCTTGCACAAGGAGAATAATTTTAATCCTGGATGCATATGTTATTAATACTCTTCAGCTACAGACACAACCCAAGATATACAATGGGGTGGATCCTTTTACCGAATAAATCATTTGTTGTTATTCCCAGCAGACATTAAATGGTTGGTTTCCCTGCCTTGCCAAATCTTTGTAAGTGGCAGACACCTTCCTCAAGGGAAGTGGCAGCAATCAGAAGCCATAATTTCCTCACTGTTGCGAGGTCTCCAAATTAATAAGAGTCCTTGAAATTGAGAACACTTTGTGACAGGAAGCCAAGAAAGAAACATTTCTGAGGTTGACTAGGAAGGGTGTTTACAGAACTGAAGTTTGGCAGTTAGGGCTCCTGAGTTCTCTTCTTAACTCTGTGTCTAGATTGATGGGTGCAGATTGTAAAACTAGATTGTTTTGACCAACTTTTGTAAAGCTTTCTTTGATCTTGAGCAGAAAACAGTCCTTCCTGGTTCTGAATTTAAAAGAATGGCAGGTATGTCCCAAAAGGCATCTAAAATCATGCAGATGACATGCCTCCAAATTGCTGAGGTACAAAAAGCGAAATTCTGCTCTGCTTCCAGGTAATAGTCTAAGGACTGTTCAGGCCACGCATGAGTTCTATTGATGCAGGCAGTGATGAGGCCTGTGCCAGCTGCCCAAGTTCACACCCCTCCTGCACTTTTTCTTCACTTTTTTTGGTGAAATTGCTTCCTTCTCTTTTCAATCACCCTCAGCTATCAAACACATTGATTTATGAATTCTTCACTAGTTCAAGTAAGGGTGTTTCACATTTTGGAAAACAACTTTTTTCATTTATTTTAAATGCTTTTTTAGGACAATTCATTAAACCAGCACTGGCTCTGCTGGTTGGTCTGTTTGTTTTAGGAAAGGGGGTGGTTTTGTTGTTCTTAATAGTAACAAAACTGAAATGTGAGCTCTGAGTTGCCTGTGTACTTTACCTACACTCGGTGGGAAGTTCAGAGAGCCTCAGAGTCTCTTATTCTAAGCTATTAAGAGGCAGGAAATTGGAAAAACAACTGTTGACACTAACACAAGTTGAAATGTGTACAAATACAGTCAAGCAGGGCTTGTTCCAGATCAGACTGAGGTCGCTGGCACAGCAGAACTAACCCTGGGTGGTGTGAGGTTCCCTGTGCTTGATTTAAAGCTCTGAACTGCAGTCACTTGTGTAGCACTTTTCAGTTGTCAGAAGGTAGCTCATTTAATCTGGAGAAATGTAAACAGGAAAACTCACAGCTATTTGAGCAAAGACAAAAGATAAACAAAGAGAGCCTAAGCCAGTAAAAGAAGAAATGCAAGGCCAGCAGCTTCTTTACCCTGCTTCCCCTCTTCCCTCTTTCAGATAACAAAGACGTGTCAGTGATGATGAGCGAGATGGACGTCAACGCCATTGCAGGCACCTTGAAGCTGTACTTCAGGGAGCTGCCCGAGCCGCTCTTTACAGATGAGCTGTACCCCAACTTTGCTGAGGGCATTGGTAGGTAGCAGCAGCAATCACCCTCCATAATGGAGCCTTTATTAGACACACTGTTCTGTAGGAGGCTGTTCCTACAGCAATACAAACCCCATGTTTGTAATGTTGGACAGAAGGCTGGAACAAGCTGTTAGAGGGGTGAAATGGAGGAATGAGTGTTGGAATGACATAATCTTCCTGTGAGCTTGAGTATGGGCATTTGCCATTACTTTTTTAAAGTAAAAATGTCCAGGTTTCTGAAGGATAAGTTAAGGATAGAGTGACAGCTTGCTTGGTGATGCTGGGCTTGCTGTTTGCACTGTTCTGCCCTCCAGGGCAGCCCTCTTTGAGGTGGGATGTGCCTTGTCTTGGCTTGATGGGGGGGAAAAACCATTGTAATGATTAAAAAATTGAAAGCACTTGAACTGCTTGAGAGAAAAAGATTCTCTGTGTATCTATGAGATAAAGGAAAGAGGTCCTGTGGGGGGTTCACCTTCTGATGCAATTACATCATTACATCATCCGTATTTGGAATACAGAGCATCCAGATTTGTTGGTTTGGAACTGATGCAGTCAGCCAAATTCTCATTCACTGCCTGTGGTGATGTTTTGTTATTTTCTGTCTCGCAGCACTTTCAGATCCTGTTGCAAAGGAGAGCTGCATGTTGAATCTCTTGTTATCGCTTCCAGAACCCAACCTTGTGACATTCCTTTTCCTTTTGGACCATTTAAAAAGGTAATATATGGATCCTTTAGGCACATGTTGTGTCTAAAGCATCATTGTGAAAAGAGGAGCCTTTTCCTTAAATTTGCACTGAATCACACAAATGAAGAAGCATTTACATGTCTGCAATCTAACATGATGCACTTTTAAAAATTCCAGCTTTGCACTTCAGCTAACTGGAGTTGTCAGTTCCTTGCTTAGACTAGTCTTCCTCATCTTGTCTGTATCATTTTAATATAGTTGTAACTGTGAAAATGCATTTCCATGTATTTGATATTAAAGCAATAAGCTTGCTTAATTTACATAGGCATTTTGAACACAACAGAGACTGTCACTAGAGAGATGAAAGATAATCTTACGACTAAGGTCCTAGATTAAAATCCAGGAAATCTAGGGTTTGTGTTTCTGCTATAGACTTTTCTGCCTGTGGGTGAATTTTTTAACCTTTGTTGCCTCAGTTTCTCATTTATGAAACTGGGATAAAAAACATTCCTTTATTCCTGTTCCACTTCTGCCTGTCCAGGCAGGAAGCAGCCATTTCTTTCCCAAATTTTAAGCTGTGTCTGTAGAGGGCCTGGAGACTGTGGCTGTCGGATCAAGGTGTTAATTGTACAGGAAGTTAATTAAGGTACATTTGGAGAGAGTGGTTGATTCAATGTATCTAGAACTTTTTACAAAAGGAATAATGTTTCTCACTTAAGGACACTTCCAAACTCGGGTATTTATAAAGACCTGCCTTGTTCATTGCTCCCAGGGTTGCTGAGAGGGAAAGCATTAACAAGATGTCCCTGCATAATCTTGCAACTGTCTTTGGACCAACACTGCTGAGGCCGTCAGAGAAGGACAGTAAAATCCCTGCCAACCCGACCCAGCCTATCACAATGACTGACAGCTGGTCCCTAGAAGTCATGTCCCAGGTAAAATCCTAAAAGTGCTATTGAATCTTGTGAAGACAATATGTGGGAAAATGCATTGCTCTAGCAAGGCCTGCTTCCGCCATCCTTCTGTGTTTTGATCACAGGTTTCAAACAGCTTTCACCCTTACATGGGCATTTTAGACTGGTTTTAGAACTGTGTTTCATCAGACATCTGTAGAGCTCTTCATGAAAAAATGTCCATGTGCACACAGTCCTGTGTGTTTCAGGTCTGTGTACAGTAAGATGTTTGCAAGGCTGTCTCACAGTGTCCTAGTGCTGCCCTGGGGCAAAAGGACCGTTGGTGTTTTTCCACCATGCTCCTCAACACCTAAACCACCCTTACCCATGCACAACAAAATTCTGTGCTAAATTCAGGGGCTTTTGGCCACTGCTGCCAGTTGAAGGTGGTGCAGGGAATTTGAGCACAGACCTGTAGCTCACTGAGTTGGCTGTTCAAGCTGTTTTGTACTTTCTTGATCGAGCAACAGCAAATGATAGATCAGATTTTTTCAGTGCAGTGAAACACCAACACCAGTGTTACACCCTGGAAGTTGAAAAGTGTGTCCCCAAAGCACTGCAAGTTTTAATATTCCTTATATATAAATAGAAGGAATAACTATATATAATTATTACACTGCATTAAAACAAATACATAACTGCAAGATGTTGCTTGTGGAAAGAGCTGTAGACATGTCTGCCCGATCTTAAACAGCCAGGATGAGAATGAGTTGCCAGAGCCTTATTATGTCTTTCTTGTTTCTCTTTCCAGGTTCAAGTTCTTCTGTACTTCCTGCAGCTAGACACTATCCCTACCCCAGACAGCAAAAGACAAAGCATTCTCTTTTCCACAGAGGTGTAGGTGTCTGCCATACCAACAGGACTCTCAGAACTGCTCTTGGCACAAACCTGCCACGCCTGAGAAAAAGAAGACTGGTGTTTCTTCAGACATTACTGGCCTGTTCCTTCCCTGGGGAACCATGGCTCTCAGTGCTTCTGCTGTTGGTTAACCAGAGACAAACTGAAGGGAAAGGACAAAAATCTCTGCTTTTGGTTGGTAGGACCAGGACTGAACTGGACATGGAGCTGTGCAGAATCTCCACTAGAAGGAGCAATAGACACTTAAACAAATGCACAGCAGAGTGTGGCTGTTATTCTTGTTGGGAATGTGACAGAAGGTATTCCTCATTTTATGGATTTAATTTATCATAAAGAAACTTCAAGATTTCTACTGGACCACTTGATAGGATACCCCTTTTTGGGTGAGGGGGAGTTAAAGGATATATCACAACTGTGTCTTTAATAACTGCTGTTTTTAAAGTACTGTTCTAGGCCACAAAAATAGCATTGCTTTGCCAGAGGAGAGAAGGGAAGGGTCTGGGATCACAGATTCCCTCCTTAGAAATTCCAGTCTTGATTTGAACAGGGTTTTAATGAAACGAAGCAGTTTTGTGTACAACTAGAACTGTTGGTTTGTTTGGGGGTTGTATCTGGTTTCTTTAGTTTGTGTTTCGTTTGGCTCTTTTTTTTGTCTCACCCACCCCCTTCCCTTGCAGATGTTTAGGCAAACTAGGGAAGGAGGTGCCCTGCTCTTGCCTACATTGCACTTCAGATGGGTTATTTTGGGCTAAGGGAGCCAGACCCAGAGATGTTACATGATAAATAAGTAACAGTGAATTAAAAAGAGGCAGGGAGGATTAGTCAGAGATTCTGCTTGTGATTCTGTTGGCTGTTTGCATATAAAAAGCAGGGGCAATAGTATCCAGGCAGAATTGCTAAATTCCTTCAACCCCACGAAACTTAATGAAAATTAACTGGGAAGACTGTTAATTCCCAACACTCCAAAGAAAATGTTATCACTGCAAAAATGATTGAAGCATTTGGCTGTCTGCTTACTCCAAACTTTTATCAGAACATAATTTTTGGGTTGTTTTTTTTTAATACTTGATTTTTGGAGGCTTTGTACATTGCTTCTACAAGACTCTTTTTCTGATAGCTACAAATACTTTGATAAAATGCGTCAGGATGTACTTTATGGACAATCTAGTAAGTAGCATGCATCATGTGAAATTCCAACCCTGTTTTAAGTCAGAGCAGTGAAGAAATGTTCTATGGGACTACATGCATCAGGACAAAAGATTGAGCCAAATACCAACTTTGTCCTTCCCTGCCCAAAGCAGCTCAAGCCCCAGGGGTTACGCAGGCATGAAGGGCAGCAGTGTTTGTCCAAGAAATTGAAAGCACCATCTAACTGCTGGTATCCAGAGCAAAGTATTCTGGCTACGGAGCAGTTGTGCCAAACATCCTGGGGGGCATGGGAGTGATTCCATTGCCATGAACTCCTCCAGTTCCCCTTGACTTCCTACCCAGTTATGCAGCATCTATTTAGTGGCATCCATCCATCATCATCCTGGCAAGAAGAAAAATACAGCTTGGAGACAAGGGAAGGAATGGGCATGGGAAGGGGAGAGAGGGACAGATCTTGACAGGTTGGTAGAAGTTAGGTTGTCAGCATCATTCGAGGGGAAATAGGATAAAGAAAGCAACTCCTGTTACGCTGAATTTCACATTTTCTGGTGGGTGATCTGTGACCTCTCAAAAAAAAATAACAAAAGAGTCTTTCAAATAAATGGAAAGAAAAAATTAAAGGGAAATGATGTTGTAGTCACTGTAATTGACTGCTGCATAATATTAGAAATTATTGTACTGTGAAGTTGCAAATTCAAAAAGGAACCAATATAAATTTCAATTTTGTGAGTATATCAATATTTTGCATGCTTTGTAAGGATTCTTATAGGAATTTAATATTGCTTAGTATCCCTCCCTCCTTAGGTCTGGGAGCAAACTTCTTTGTAATGTAATGTACAACTAGAAATTCCTTCTCTCTTATATGTATTTCCACTACATTCCAACTTCTGAACCCATGAAAATGAAAAAGTGTTTATAGTAGGAGGTGCTTTTTGGGGGGAGGGAGCGAATGAAGACAAGGAAACTTGAAGGCTTAAGATTTTGATTTTTTTTAAAATTTATTTTATTGCCTTTGCAAAGGTAAGAAATAGTCACAATCCTGAAAAACATTGACTTAAGAAAAGTCATGCAGACCAGTAAACCACCCACCATGGGTTTGGTTTTATGTATTTATTGTCGTTTCCCCAGAGCAGTTCTCTAGCTGTTGCTGCAGGCTGCACACCCCCATTCCAAGGGGGCTTGGATGTACCCAAGGCAGTGGCACTGCTGAGGATTTAATTTAAAAGGAAAAAAACCCACAACCCAACTGAACTAGAGCAGGTGGTTGGGCAATACCCTTTTCCTTTTGGTGTCTGGAATTTGTGGCCGCTCTTTGCAGCGTTGAAACTGGAAAGCAATATTATAATGACTGTGCCAATTTACTTTTGCCCAACTTTTTATTTTTATTTATATAGGAAGTTAATATTAAATTACTGATCTATAGTATGTAACCATGAGAAAATTGCTTTTGCTTTGGTTACTGTTACAGGTTGTTGCTTTTAGTCTCTCATTACAATGCTCAGTTCTAATGTAACAATATCTAACATGCAGGCATGTGGATCAGGGAAAAAAAGTTAATTTAACTTAACCCGTTAATTATTTCTGTTAAGTATGAATATGTTTTCCCCAAAGCTGGTAATTTTGGGCTGGAAAAGTTAGTGCATCTTATTGCTGATGATGAAATAATGACTGATTTGAAATATGAGAATTGATTTCTTGAATTTCCTTTAATTTTGCAATTAAGTTCTTTTCAAATAGTCTTATGTTTTCAGAAATGAAGTATTTCCAAACAGCTTTTATGTTCTTTTCCCAGGGATGTTGGTTGGGTTTTTTAATATTTGTTTTTTACTTTGTTATTTTTGTAATAAGCCTTATACTTAAAAAGAGAATTGCAAAACTTGGCTTTAGAGAAGGCCTTCTGATTTCTACTTTTACATATCCCTTTGTAAGTTGTGTCAGAAAACCTGAATTATCGATTTTCTGTATCCAAAAGGTACCACATAAACAATATAAGAGCAAACCAGCAAAAAAAAAAGTTACCTTTTATGTGTGCACTGGGAGTTAATGCTCGTTCAGTTTCTAGTGTATTGGAGAGACCTTTCTAAAAATGTAGCTTTCAGTAACAGGAATCTGAAATGTTAAAACTGTCAATTAAAGAATTTCAGGCGACAGGGACAGTCTGTGTGTCTCCAGTTTAAGAAGAGGAATAAGCATCAGTTTCCTGGCATTTAGAAGCTATTTTAAAATTCTCATGGATTTTTTTTTTTACACGGAATAGGTTTTTGAGTAATTTTTTGAAAGTTAAGTAAAGCAAATTGTGGGAAAAGTTTTCCAAGATGGACAAGAAATAACAGTTACTAGATAAGTTTCAACTTTGTGTTTGTATGTGCTTTGTGTGGGAGGGGAGCTCTGAAACCAAATGGAAACACATCCCTTAAAGCGCTGCTGGTGTTCTTTATTCTTGCACAATTTTAAGAAGTTGAGGTAGTAGCTAAGCTATTCCAGGCTGTATTTTAATGCTGCTATTGTTCAGTGTATCAGCGAAGGGCAGAAAGGCAGCGGGGGTGCTGACTGCATGTGCTGATGCCCACGGCTTGTCCCCGTCCTGGCCTGCAGTTGCTCACACAAGGCAATCCGCGTGCACCCGATGGAGCGAAACTGCAACTTTTTTGTTGGCCACAAGGTGGTGGAACCCACAGAGTGTGTTTATGGGAGATGCAGTATTTTTACAGTTTATTCATTTTATTTGTTAAAAAAATCTGTTTTACAGGTTTTTTATGTTAGTTTTCTATGAGTTTATTTAAACAAATGTACTGTTCTTAAAGCATCCATGGATCTCCAAGTCTGTTTGTCGTCCTTGTAACACTGGAAGGCATCACAATGTGTTCATTTATCTTGACATGCCATTCTTACAAGTATGTATAAAATATAAATTGACCAACATGGTTTTTAAAAATGTTTAAAGTCTGATGGCAAAACCCCTACCCTCTCTGATGCCTCACTGATTAATTATTTTGTTTCAGTCCTTGGTCATCTACTGGGATAACATTATCAGATGTGGCATTCTTATTAGGGAACTTTTAGTAAGAAATGGGAAATGTTTTAAGAAAAACTCCTACTCTTTCTTTTTTTACTTTAATTCAAGAAGGTGGAGACTTAATTACAGAAGACCAATATAGTCATGCTAGATTCAAGAGATTTACTTCTGTTCCTTGAAGAAGAAAAATTGGAAGGGCAATTCCGAAGTACATCCAATCAAATGAATCAAGTTCTTGGTGTAGTTAGTAAGCCACTTGTTCATTCCCTCTTAAATTTGTAGCCCAGGTATGTTTTTCTTTTTAAACTTTGCTAGCATTGTCATAGTACTGCTAACAGAAGAGTCAGTCTGATTCCAGTCACTTCTTTCACCATAGGGTACCTGCAACTGAGATACTGGAGCCTGAGTTCAGCATTAGCAGTTCTCCATTCTGAACTGGAATGAAAAAAGTGTTCCTGTGTTTGATGAAATTCTTCCTGAATAGAAGTAAATCCACAGATTACAACCAAGAAAAGCTTTAAAGGAAGCACTTAGAGTTAACTCCTTAACGAAGTTAAAGGGAAGAAAAGTAACACAAATAGAAATGAGAAGAAAAATTAGGGATCACATGGTCTGGAACTAGAAAGAAGTCCTCATTTCCCATTACAGAAGAAGGCTTATGGCCCAGATAACTGTGAGCAGAGACTGTCTGGCCAGTAAATAAACATTAATACAGGAACACCAGGAATTCAGCTACTGTAGCCTCCTGGTTCTGATGTGCTGGAACCCCTCTTTCTTGCTACTGAAAATTCAGTTTAATGCTAAAAAAGGAAAGTTTA